GAAGTTAAAAACAATATATCAAGACTTCCCATCACCATCTGATCAAAGATAACCACGATGGAATGTTGCAAAACTAGGTCTACAAGTGTTAAGAACATTTTTATAAGTGGTAGAAATTGCCAAAAAACTGTTGGTCTGGAAAGCATGTAGCTCAGTATAATGAACTAATGAACTAAAACCAACTCACAGCACTAGTTACAACAAAACTCATGTGAAATCATTGGGGGGAAATGCTGTATTTAGAAAGAGCATATCAAACACTGAGATCCAGGATCCTTGAGTGAGCCAAGATAGTGATTGTCCACTGGTCAGATGGTTGTTAATTTAGCCCCAAGTTGTCTGTTGAATTTCTGCTACATAACTCTTTCTTCCTAAAGGAGATCAACCCTGGCTGCTCTTTAGAAGGCCAGATCCTGAAGAGGAAACTCAAACATTATGGCCACCTAATGAGAAGGAAGGACTCACTGCAGAAGAGCCTCATGCTGGGAACAATTGAGGGCAAAAGAAGAAAGGGACGACAGAGAATGAGGTGGCTGGATGGAGTCACTGAAGCAGTAGGCATGAGCTTAAATGGACTCCAGAGGATGGTAGAGGACAGGAAGGCCTGGAGGAACGTGGTCCATGGGGTTGTGATGGGTTGCACATGACTTCACAACAACAACAAACTCTTCCTTCAGTGGACCTCAAAGCTTTTAATCCTCGGATATTCTTAAGGACTGCATAGGCTTGGCATGGCATGTTCATAACGGCCTCCCAGAACTGGAAAAGAGAATTTGAAGAGTTTTAAAGGGTGTACAGCTAGTCCTCAACTTACAACCATCCGTTTAGTGTCCATTCCAAGTTGCAACAGCACTGAAAAAAGGTGACTTCTGACCATTTTTATGACCATTGCAGCATCCCCATGGTCATGTGATCAAAATTCAGCTGCTTAGTAATTGGTTCATATTGATGTTGGTTATAGTGTGATCCTCTTTTATGATCTTCCAGCAAGCAAAGTCTATGGGAAAGCCAGATTAACAAAGGTGTTACTAACTCAACAACTGCAGTGATTCATGTAACAATTGTGGCAAGAAAGGGCATTAAAGTGGCGCAAAACTCACTTAACAACAGCCTTGCTTAGAAATTTTGGGCTCAATTGTGGTCGTGCGTTGAGGACTACTTGCACTGCTTATGTACAATTCTTTAAAAAATATATTTCTTTTTTAAGATTCCCCAGAATGGAAACTTTCGCAAGTTTCGTGGAAGCTCCGGAAAACTTTTTGTTTTTGTTTTCCTTCCTTCCTTCTTTCCGAGATCAAAGGGTCCCGAAGTATCTAAAGCCCAAGGATAGTTAGAGGTGTAAAGATCTTCTGAAGTTAGAATAAGAGACGTGTTTCCCAGGCCAGAATATCCAGAAGAACAGGAACAAAAGTTCATTGTAAGGAAAGGTCAGAATCATTTTTTTATTTGTTTTACTTAACGGACTGAAGAAACACATAACAGGCTTATGCTAAATTTGGAGGACACTTGCAACACCTGTTTTTTAAATTTTAAAATCAATAAAAGAAAAACAGGAAATATTTAAGGCTATAGGAGTATGTTATGTACATGTGGCACCTTCTGTACAATGCTGACTATTGCAGAACATCACAGAGAGGGAAATGCTCTTGTTTTACCAACAAGGATGTATCGTCAACTAGGATGTACTGAAACACCAGGCAAATATGGCTAATGGCAAGGGACACTGTTAGTTAAGCAATATCATATCTGTATGTTGTCAGCAGCAAGAATGCTTTATGCACAAAAATGGAAAGATACTTTAATTCCCACAATGGCTGAATGGCTAGAAAAACAGAGGGAACGAGCAGTGATAGCTAAATGCACTGCTTTAATCAAAGACAAGAACACATCCAATTTTGTTTCTGTTTGGAAACCACTTCTGGGCTTTATGCTTGGGATGAGGAAAAAATGCAACTTGGGTTTTGCTGATTGGATAAACTTCTTGCTACAGAAAGGGCTAGCATATAAGGAGTATGTAAAAATAAAATGTTGAGATTGCAATGTTACTATCTTAATGAAATTAATTATCTTAATGAAAGAAAAGATTTGGTCTAGCTTTCTTTCTAAATGGAAACCACTTTTGGACTTCTTGCTCGACGCTGAAATAAATGCTATATTAATTTCGAGATTGTATTATTCAAATTGTTTAAGATTATAGCAATACCAGACAATATTGAATTTTAGATCAAAAGATTGTTTTATATCTGTATTGAAGAAAGTTAGAAATTACTTTTTTTCTTTTCACTTTGTATTTTCCCCTTCCCATTTAATCCTGCTTAATTTCCTTGTTCTATTATATTTAAACTTTTCCAGAAATTTAATAAACTATATTTTAACAATTCTCTTTGCTCTGGTCTGTAGCTCTCCTTTTCCAAAACCGCAGTACTTAAAAAAAACAAAAAACAGAAAAGTTATTTGATCAGAAAGTTTTCTCTGGGCCTCTTTGCGAATGCAGTTGCAAAGAAGACAGGAAATTAAATTCTTTTGACCCCAGGCAAAGAATAATGGAAAAATAACAGGAAGCAGATTTTGCAGCCGAGTCCATCTACATTCCTACATAATGCATCTCTATAGCTTAAACGGGACGCGGTGGCTCAGTGGCTAAGATGCTGAGCTTGTCGATCAGAATAACAGAGTGAGCTCCCATTACTTGTCCCAGATTGTGTCAACCAAGCAGTTTGAAAGCATGTAAAAATGCAAGTAGAAAAATAGGAACCTCCTTTGGTGGGAAGGTAACAGCGTTCCATGCATCTTCGGCGTTTAATGCCGGCCACATGACCACAGAGATGTCAGATAGCGCAGGTTCTTCGGCTTTGAAAGGGAGATGAGCACCGCCCTCTAGAGTCGGGAACAAGTAGCACATATGTGCAAGGGGAACTTTTACCTTTATAGGTTAAACAACCATGACTGGGCAAGTCCTTGAGTGCAAAACAGAGCTAGACAGAGCACAAACATTGGATGTCACAGGGGTCTCTGGAACTTGCCCAATGTCACCCAATATGTTATTGGGTTAAGTGTTCAGGAAAGGTAAAAGGTCCCATGATCTTCTGAGAAGAGGTCCATGTTCCAGAAGATGCTTAAGAGGAGTCTGCCCCCTAGTGGCAGTGCCTCATCATCTGAATCAGTGTTTCTCAACCTTGGCAACTTGAAGATGCCCGGACTTCAACTCCCATTTGCTGGCTGGGGAATTCTGGGAGTTGAAGTCCGGGCATCTTCAAGTTGCCAAGGTTGAAAAACACTGATCTGAATGAAGCATTAAAGGCAAAGGTTCCCCTGGCACATATGTGCTAGTCTCTAGGGGGCGGTGCTTGTCTCCGTTTCAAAGCCAAAGAGCCAACGTTGTCCGAAGACATCTCCATGATCATGTGGCCAACATGATTAAACTCCAAAGGCGCACGGAGCGCTGTTACTTTCCCACCAAACCTGATTCCTATTTTTCTACTTGCGTTTTTATATGTTTTCGAACTGCTAGGTTGGCAGAAGCTGGGACAAGTAATGGGAGCTCACTCAGTTATGTGGCACTAGGGATTCGAACCGCCGAACTGCCGACCTTTCTGATTGATAAGCTCAGCATCCTAGTCACTGAGCCACCGTGTCCCTTTATTAGGCAGCTTTAGTAAGCATTAGGTTGGCAAAAATGTTTTGGCTGGGATG